AGAGGACTGATGTCACCCATGCCTGGTGCCAACCGAGTTGACTCCTGCTCAGATATATTTCAGAAGAGGCTCCCAGCCCGATGTCTCCCCCCACCCAATCCCATCATCTGGGTTCCTTGTGGGAATGTGAAGCTTTTTCTTTGTACTGGGGATTAAATTTAAATATAACAATTTGTATAGCACATGCTTCAACATTTCAATCATTTTGGAAACTGGGGCCGTGAAGGAGATGGGGAAAATGATCTCAGATAAGACTGAATTGGTAAGTTGCCACACAGCTGCTCTGCCCAATATGGTAGCCATATGTGGCTATTTACATTTAATTAGATAAAAACCCAGTTCTCAGTTGTACCAGTCGCATTTCCCGGGCTCAGCAGGCCCATGTGATTAATGGCTACCAATTTGGATGGTGCAAACAGAGGACAATTCCATCCTCACCAGAAGTTCTACTGCACATGTTCAATTGGGAGAGTTTTCATGTTTTCTCTGTAGTCCTCGGCAAGCCTTCTTTTACTCTCTCTGTTGTTGGCACTATAATATATTATACTATCACTTTTGCAACCCTAAAAGTAGATAGTGATGTACTAGCTACACAGCTTCTCAGTTTTGTAATATACTAAACCCCATCACATTATGTATTTTAGAAGAATAAACTCTGTAGTACATGAATTATATCTCCATTTAAAAAGATAAAGTCTAATTAGTCAAATATCCAGAAATAACTCCATTAATCCACCTTGGCAAGTATCACAGCGCAGCCCAAATGACCTTATTCGAATGTAAAGCAGAGAGAACTGAATCATTTTTAATAGCAAACAAAACGAACAGCCTTCACGCTCCAGGGGCTCCTGACAGCACCTACATTGGGAGGGCCTTTCATAGAGGCCACTTTAAAAATGTATCACAAAGTGGTGATGTTAGCCCTGGACTCCCCCCTTCCTTTTCCACGTTCTCCTAGTGTCAAGGTTTCCACCTGGCAGAGAGCTGCAGCCCATGTTGCCTGGGCTTCTTCCCTCGAGACAATTTCCCCAAGAGAAAGAAAGAAAATACCAGACATGGCCACAGGCACAGCGCCCACCCTGATCTCCCCTGTGTGTTTTCCCTTGTCTCTTTGAGAAAGAGAAACACCAGCAGGTTCTCCTCTCTTTACCTTGAGATTATTGGCAGGTTAGAGAGCAATTTTCCTGATTTGCACTGGCAAACAAGATGCCAGGTAGTAGAGATCTCATTTCTGGAGGTTCCAAAGGGACTTTCTCATTATGGAGAAAGTGCCAAAGAAAGTGGTCGCTAAATGCAGGCACTCTTTGGAAATAACCAAATGGTCTCTGGCTCCCTAATCAAAAGAGGCAGCAGAGCCCCGTGGTTAAGACTTGGGTTTCAATCCTTGCGCTGCCTCCCACTAGCTGTGAGCCCTGGCTCTATGCCTGTTTCCTCAGCTACAGAAAATAAAATACCTACCTCACAGAGCTGTGAAAAATACACGTGTCAATGGACATGAGGCATTTAGAACCATGCCTGGCTTAGAGAAAATGCTGAGTGAATGGAAATTGTTGATGATGGTAATAATGATACTTGTTCCACCCCAGCAGGTCCTAAGCAACCACCGCTAGGCAATACGTTTCCACGTGTCCTGCCACCGTGCTCAGTGGACATGAGAATACATTCTTAAATATATGTCTCAATCTCATTATTCTTGTCCCTTCCTTCCCTTTCTTTAAAAGAATTTGGTATTTGTTTTTCTTTTATTTTTAGTGTCCTTGTAACGCTATCAATCTAAACCCAGAGGCAAAAAGCAGCTAAGAGGCTCTGTCAATGGGAGAGCAGCAAGCATTGGATTCTTCCCCTCAGATAAGAGGAGGGACAACTGTATCTGGAGGTGGCTGTGGGTCAGGGGACAGCCCATGGTATAGCCTCTCAGCCCATCAGATGTCCTTCCACAGTTTCTAAGTCAGCCACAGACCACGCAGAGGGCTCGGGCTCCTGGGGCTCATCAAAATATATTTTTACACTTATTAAACTATAGAGGTAGCTGGATAGTGCCATGCATGGTCACAGGTGTTTTCTAAATATTCATATGACTTTCAAAGGGTACACCATCAGTGGGGTGAGGACTACATTACTACAGTATATGTATCTTTTTCGTTTAAGGTCACCCAGAGAAAATACACTAATCATTTAATAGGGCATGTTTCTGCCTTCAAAACATTCCCCAGATGGTTGATTTCATGGATACTCTGAAAATTAATTCTGGAAAGCTGTTTTAGTGGGGAGTTTTGTTCCGTTGAGTCTCTGATTCCAGCTCCCCACCTTCTATTTAGCATGGTTTTTATCCATTTGCTACTTCTTACTAAAAGTGAAGAAACTGGAAGGAGTTGAAATTCCAATTGATCAAGAAAGAGAAAATGCATGACTCATTTGGTCAAAATACATTTTTTATGTTATGAAAAATACACAAAGAGGTTGATATTTACAAATCAATATAAAGTAAACCTCAAATGGTTAGGAAGGAAGGAAGAAAGGATGGAAAGAAGGAAGGAAGGGAGGAAGGAAGGAAGGAAGGAAAGAAGAAAGGAAGAATCCTGTCATCCTATTTATCCAGAGAGAGCTCAGAACTGATTGGAGAAACACTCCCATTAGTTTGAGTTCTAGGACACAGTGGGAAGGCCAGAGAGAAGTAAGATCCTTCTCATATCTTTCTCTTCTAACATGATCACAGGAGGGCACTGCCTCCCCTTCGGGAGTCAGGGGGTAGGGGAGACATGGCATCAGAGGTCCTCTCTTGGTTCCTATGGGGGATGGGGGTCTGCCAGACACATCTTCCTTGACACACCTTTTTTAAAAAGAATGGCACCATCAGTAAGCAACTTGATTTCCATTGAGTCATCATGGAACGTAGCTAACATTGAAATCTTCCTGCCTGCCTGTGATGACAATTGTTTTATCCCCAGCTATGCTCAGGTGATTTCCAATAATGCTGTGTGTAGAAATGGCAGCCTATGCCAAGCTGGTATGGCTCAGTGGTTGAGCACTGACCCATGAACCAAGAGGTCACTGGTTCAATTCTAGGTCAAGGCACATGCCTGGGTTGCAGGCTTGACCCCAGTAGGGGGTGTGCAGGAGGCAGCTCATTGATGATGTTTCTCTCTTATCAATGTTTCTATCTCTCTACCCCTCTCCCTTCTTCTCTCTCTAAAAAATCCTATATAATAAAGAATATGCAAATGGTCGTTACATAATGACCGAATCATGGATCAGCTGGAGGGTGGGGCAGAGAGCTACAAGTGGGAAGCGGAGAGCTACAGGAGGGGGCAGGGCTATTAAGGGGGTGGGGGGTGCGTGGGAAGCTACAGGAGGGCAGGGCAGCAAGCTACTGGTGCACAGATTTGTGCCCAGGGCTACTAATAAACAAATAAAATCATATTAAAAAAAGAAACTGGCCCTAACCAGTTTGGCTCAGTAGATAGAGCGTCGGCCTGCGGACTGCAGGGTCCCAGGTTTAATTCTGGTCAAGGGCATGTACCTTGGTTGCAAGCACATTCCCAGTAGGAGGTGTGCAGGAGGCAGCTGATCGATGTTTCTCTCTCATTGATGTTTCTAACTCTCTATCCTTCTCCTTTCTCTGTAAAAAAATCAATAAATATATTTAAAAAATAAAAAAATGACTGCTTTAAAAGCAAAAAGAAAGAAACGGGCAGCCTGGAACAATGGGAAAGAAGAAAAGAGGAAAAGAGAAAGAAGAGAAAGGTGATCTCTTCAAGAAGTTTCCACAAATGACTGTACTATTAGGAGAGCTTCGACGATCTCAAGCCACTAATCCTGGGAAGGACAGACTCTCTATGCTGCCTGGATGCTACAGGTGATTGCTGATGTCACCTCCACCTGCCAGGCATGGTTTGCTAAGAAATAATACAAGGCTGTGTGTGGAGCAATACCTTGGTAAGTGAGTCCTCTCAGTCCCAGAGAAGGCAAAATGTTCAATGCTGCAGGAGAAAACACCACTGACATTTTATATTCTTATTTTTCTTAAGTGGGTGAAAGGTTACTTTTAGATTGAAGTCTATGAAATTGACAATATTTGATCATTTTGCTCTATAAAATAGTAATTTATTATGGTTCAATGCATGAACACAGAGGTTCTCATTTATTGTTTTATTGAAGTAAAATTGACGTACAACATTATATTAGTTTCAGCTGTACAACATGATGATTCAACATTTGTATACACTGGGACAGAGTAGAATTCTGCTGCTTCAAGTCTGTGTTTGAACTTGGCCCTTGACCACAGGGCCAACGTGACCTGGCCGAGCAGTCACAGAAGAGCGCCCTGCACACTGAATTAAGACCCACAATCATACACTCACTTTGGCCCACATGCAACTTGCTTTTTAAAAATTAGTTGCCAGAATTTTCAAACGCCCCAAATTTTATACCCTCTTTTGAGAATCAAGGTCTGGCAATAGCGCACGTTCCCACAGGCCTTGTGGCAAGAATGGGCTCATTCTCAGAAAGGGCTGCCTTCTTTAGGACAAACCATGCATTCTCCATTGCCATCCAAGCCTTCAATGTTACCACAGTTGCCTTTTCCCTGAACCAGGTGAGCTTTTCAGTCCAAGGTTAACTAAGCCAGGTCATGGTTCATGTGTCCTCACCCAGAGTGTCAAGGCCTGCCTTCAACGTGTCATAAAAATGGACGGGTTAACCAGGAATCCACTTCCCCTCTCTCTCCACCAGCCTCCTCCCTCCTCATCTTTCCAGAGAAGGCTCATTTGGTGAGGGCACCATATGGGTAGAAAGGGGAAAAGACCAGGCAGAGGGCGCAGCTGGGAGGCAGCCCCTGCAGTCATCGCACAAACAGGACCATGCTGGCAAAATCCCCACAAACGGAAATTCTACAACCCCTCTCTCTAATCCAGTCCTAGTGTTCAGCAACCTTCACTGTCAGGAAATCCTACCCTAAATAACCCAAATCCTTCACGCAGCTTAAACCCATTTCCTCTTACTTTCTGCTCACTGGAGATGGGGAACAGCTGGCCACCGTTCTCTGTCCCAAGTTCTTTGTCAACTGGATGATTGGATTCTGGCGCTGGACCACTGTCATAATTAGGAGTCTGACCAGTTCCATATTGTGCCGTCTGCAAAAGCATGTCGAATAGGAAGATAAAATTGTGAGCATGCTGTGCTTCAGAAATGTGCCATCAGGGGAACGCGATCCTTCGCCATGCCACCAGGCTGTTCCCAGTTTAGAAACGTAAACGGGAGTTTTCTACGTGGAAAAAAAAATGTTTTTCTGAGGCGAGCTCTGCCACATGCACAAAACACCCAACAATGCAAAGGTTCTACTAAGGCCAACGAGAGAAACAACATGCAGAGGGAGCACTGATTGAGCGCTTCTGTGCTTCCATGACCAGCTTCGTCTCAGATGCAATTCTCAGCAAGGCACTGAGGTGGGTATTAGGATTTTTTCTTGCTTTGCAGGTGAGGAAATGGAGCCACACAGAGCTAACTCGTCCAAGTTTACACACCAGTGAGGACGTGTTTAAACCCAAGCAGTTGGAGTCCAGAGCCTGTGATCTCTCAACCACCCCTGCATTCTGCACATGAACCTGGTGCTGTGAGTCTGGGCAGCTCACCGCCTTGAAAATAATCCCTTTGTGGCCAGTGGAGACCAAGAAGTCATGACCATCCTCAGGTGCTGTGCTCCTGACATAGCACCAAGGAAGTCTATAGCCTAAAATTTCAAATAAGCTTGATGCCACCAAGCTTGAATTCTTCTCATATACAGAGTCCAACGTGAGACCCGGGGTCTCCACTTAGACGTGGATAGTAAGTAGCCCTCCCATTCCCAGCTGGATGCCTGTTCCCATGTATGTGCTCCAGTCTGACCTGGATCAGGGACCAGGTTCCACCACATACCACCAGGTCACGTCCTGCCTGCCCCCGTATCTCCAACAGTAGAGTGGTGATGACAGCTGCTTCCTGGTGGTGTGGGAGGCACATCTCTCCTCTCACTCACCAGCTAGCCCCTTGTCCAGCCATGTCTCCTCACTGCACTTAGTTCTAACCATTATCATTGTTTTGCCTCTTTCACTAGCCTATAAGCCAGTGGTTCTCAACCTTCCTAATGCCGCGACCCTTTAATACAGTTCTTCGTGTTGTGGTGACCCCCAACCATAAAATTATTTTTGTTGCTACTTCATAACTGTAATGTTGCTGCTGTTATGAATCATAATGTAAATATCTGATATGCAGGATGTATTTTCATTGTTATAAATTGAACATAATTAAAGCATAGTGATTAATCACAAAAACAATATGTAATTATATATGTGTTTTCCGATGGTCTTAGACGACCCCTGTGAAAGGGTCGTTCGATCCCCAAAGGGGTTGTGACCCACAGGTTGAGAACCGCTGCTATAAGCTCAACAGCAAAGGGGCTTTGCTTGTATGATTCACCCCTGTACCTCCGGTGCTCTGCACACTGTAGGCACTCATATTATTTGGAGAATGACTAAGTTATCATTAGAAGAATTAAATAAAGCCACCTATGTAAAATGTAATAAAGATGATTTCTACCCACTTCTCATAGTTTTCTTGTTGAAATCTGTTCTTATCTTTCTAATTTATCAACCCTCTATGGTTATGCAATGGTCACTCCATCTACTGTGCAACCTTGGCGTGGACACCAAGGTTCCTTGCTGACCAAGCAATACCTCCTGAAAGTCCCAGAAACTCACTTTCTGTGCCACTTCAGAAGGGCTTCTACCCTGAGCTACGGGCCAATCTTATGCTTTAAATGGAGGCATATCGAATCTCGCATTCCTTCTGCCAGTTGGTGGCAGCACCCAAGAGAAGCTGCTCCCACCATTTCTGAGGGGGTCGTGAGGGTTTCTACCCCGGGAACCCTAGCTCTTTTCCTTTTCTCTGGTAGTTTCTAGACCAGGAGCAGCAAATTTAAATGCCTGCATGGGTCAAACAAGTGACGTAAATGAGCGAAGTCATTGCAGGTGTGAGACAAGAGGGGCAGTGGGGACCGAGGGAGCCTGCTCTTAGTTCAAGGGAAAAGAAGATCAGCAGAGATTCTCCTTTTTCGGGTCACTGAATAGTTAAGGCTCTCTTGGGTTGGGGGGTTTGGCCAGGCATTGACAGAAGCCCCAATACCCACATGCTCAAAGCGTTCTCCTATTACTCATACACTCAATCTCTTTTCCCATTTTTAAATCCTCTTAACTTACAATGTTTTAGCCTTAAGCATGAAATCTATATGTCATGGGCTATAATAAAAAAATCCCCAAGGATTTCCCCCCCATATGATGTCCACATTTATTGTTGTCTAAAACATGAGAATGTCAGCTGTCCTCATTCTATATTTGTTAAGTTTCAAACCCTCTTAATGGTTCCATTAGAAAGCAAAGCATAAAAATGCAAATAAGTTTCTTTCAAAATGTTGGCTTAGAGTTTTCTTGTGGGGAATGAGGGAATCTGAGAAAGGAAGATCTTGTTCAATTGAAACTTGATGATCTTTGAGACTTTGTCCCTTCCCCACCTGGGTTATGTTCATGAGTTTACATCTGCCTGCTAGACTGAGGGTTCTTCAAGAACCTGGGCAGCAGCCATACCCATTGTTCAGCGCTCAGAGTCCAATCCAGGGTCTGGCATATTGTCAGGAGCCCCATATGCGTTGGCTAAACATTAACAGTGTTATCTCAGAGCAAGAAACAACACTCTAAAATACACTTTCCATGATTCAGTAAGCTCAGATGACGGGAAGCAGAACCTGGGAAGGCATTTTTCTGGCATACGACTGGATACCACAAACTATCAGAAGGAAGGAATGCAAAATTTAATATGCAACAATGTAAAGCATAAAATTGGCCCAAATTTTAGGGTGGATGCCATGCTGAAGTGGCATAGAAAGCTGATTTGCACTGCCTGTATAGTTTAACCCTCCTCATCCCCCTCCACCCATGCCCTACCACATGATGCATTTCATTCCAGAAAAGACCCATTGGTTCAAGACAGCAGCAGGGGCTTTGGCAGGGGAAGGGGCAGGGGCAGGGGCAGCAGCATTGGTGGTGGTGAGCCGGCAGACGCGGCAGTGAAAAGTTAGTGTTTGAGGGCTTACCTCATGCTCGACAACATGTGTTCAGCACACCTGACGATCTTACGTAGGTCTCAGAACTCTATCTGTGATTATTCCCCCGTTTCACAACATGGAAACCGAGGCAAGAGAGCTTATGGATATGCCCAAGGAGACATGGTTTGGGAGTATAAGGAGACATGCCCTCTCTTAGCCCATTCATTCTGCTGTCTCCTCCAAAGTACAGCCTGAGGGACACACAGACCTTCTGCAGGGGCAGTGTGGCTGTGCAGGACTCAACCCACACCAGCTCAGTCAACAACACCAAAACCAATGGGTCCAAAACATAAAAACCCAAAAACAGACTTGACCATACCTGCTCCTGGCATCACACTGATCTCCCGAGGCTACTGGGAAGAAGAGCAACAGGGAAGAGCATCCCTGGTCCTCCTCCTCTCCACACTGCCCCTCATGAGTCCTTTCCTTCAGCAATAAAAGAAGCCGAAAGCTTTTAAAAAAATGATTCCCAGGGCACAGCCCGGTAAACTTTCATTTCAAGATGTTGTACTTCTATTTCAGAAGATAGTCACCATGCTGGTGACATAGTTTCACTTTTAGTATTATGACAATTGTTAGGGGAGAAACTTCTAAAAATGTCCCTTTCCTTTGAAGTGTGGGTGTTTTTTAAAGGTTACTACCTGCAAATGTGCCAGCTGCTCCTTAGCACTGCACTGTGACTCAGGGGGTAGTCAGTGATTTCAGGTTTGCTCGCCTGGCCCCACTCTGACTGATTAACTGGTTATTGCTGGGCTTGTTGTTCGGAACGCTTCCGAACACTGAGCACTACACACAGTGCCTGCTCTGGTCGGGGAGGAAGTTAAGAGTCCCCTGAGCCCAATCTCTCCAATGTCACTCTGTATTATTAGAGCAGATTCATAACTGCTGGACCCTTCAGGGTTCAAATATGAGCACAGAAATGCGGTGCAAAAAGAAACTACTGCTTTTAAAAACATTTTTAATGTTCAGCCAAATGAAACTAATTTAAACACCCTAGGAACTGGATATTTTATATGTTCAAGGATGTTTACACAATTAAGCACATTTTATGATACTGGTATCTAGTATTCATGGACACATGAGGATGAACTGCATAATTAAGTTGTCCAATGGTTTTCTGTGCTTATGAAAAATAGCACACAACCAAGCCAAAAGGCTGAGGAAGGTGGGAGCTGGAAGATACCTTTAAAATACACTAGAATGGCCCAGCTGCTGTGGCTCAGTAGTTGAGTATCAACCCATGAACCTGAAGGTCATGGTTTGATTCCTGGTCAGGGCACAATCCTGGGTTTTGGGTTCAATCTCTAGTAGGGGGTGTGCAGGAGGCAGCCAATAGATGATTCTCTTTCATCTTTGATGTTTCTATCTCTCTAACCCTCTTCTTTCCTCTCTCTGAAATCAATGAAAACATTAAAAAAATACACTAGTATGAAAAGTCTATTTGATAACATTGTTATAATACTTGCTAGAAGCAGTAATATTATTTTGATTACATCTTGACAAAGACTGAGTATCTGCCATAATGAAAGGTTGGTTCAACAAAGAAAATCTCTTTTAACTCACCCTTTTACAAGATTAAAGGAGATGGGGGAAAACCCCCACATGTGATCCTCTCATTAGATACAGAAAAAGAATTCAATACAATGCAGTCATAATTCATGAGAACATCTCTTAGCAAACAGCTCTAAAAGGGAGGGGAAAACTACATCAAATATAATACTCCATAGTGGAAAATCAAGGGCAAGAATGTTTACTATTACCATTTGTACTCAACCCAATACTGGACAGGTCCTTGTCTGTGCAGTAAGGTAGAAAAAAATAAATAAATGAAAGGTATAGAAATTCAAAAGAAGAAATAAAGTCTTTTTTTTCATTGTTTTCATAGCAAACACAAAGAAATTAGACAACTTATTAGAATTAATAAAAGTGTGGCAAGGTTGCCAAATCAACACACAAAAACTCGAATGCATTTAAACACACCAGTAGATACATCATAAGGATGTCAATTAT